CTAGATGAATAGTATTAAATATTATATAAATTAAGAACTTCAAGATCTTTCATAAAATATATCAATAATTAACCATTTTCTATCTAAGAAATTATTCAAGTCTAATGACATTAAATTGAATAGTTCCATTAAGGACAAAAATGGGATGTCTAATAACCGTTTTTATTGTTTATCTGCTACTTGTCGAAGTAGAAGATTATAGGAATAAGATCACTCTACATTATTTTTTGATATGTTAAATCCATTTATAACAATTTGTTTAAAAGATATGATCTTTCAGTATTTTCTAAAACTCTAAAGTGCCATAATGACATATAGCAACATTTGTATATTTATATATAAATTCTATCATAAAATTCAAGAGCAAATGTGTCTTGTCACTATCTAAATCTTTGAATGCTATAAATTTGCAATACAATGTGTGATTTTTCTTCTACTTCATTAATGATCTTATTTAGTCAAATGATTAGAACTGTTCTAGTTTTGATTATAATAGTATGACTATCTTTTGTATTTTCTTTTCAATTGACAATGCAGAGGAAATTTTGAGAAAATGTTAGACTAACGAATGTTAACACATTAATTTGAATATCTAAAATTAAATGAATCCTATTTCAATATTTATTGGTCTGTTCACAAGTGGAAAAGTATTTTGTTGGATAGCATGATTGTAATAGAAAGGATATGTTTTCAACTGTTTAAAAGATCTCTATTAAAATAAATTTTGCATCACTCAATTTGTATTTTGAGAATAATTTATCAACTGTACCGAAAATCATGATTATTTCATAAGAAATGTAAGTCCTCTCCCCCAAACAAGTCCATTTTTGTGAAAAATATGAAACTTGAGATAAATATATGGGAAGTTAGTCGTAAACCTGATCTTTCATACATGACATGATTTTTTTATTTGGCATATCACTTTGTTTTGAATTTCCGTCATTTTCTATTTGAAAAATATGCTTTCTTTTAGAAAAAGCAGGAAATGCTTTTCACCTTTCCTTTATTAATACTTTTTTTGATGACGTATCCCAAAACTCTTAAAGGAGCTTTATCATATTCAATTGATTTCTTTGTTGTCTGAAAGAGTATGTCAAGATGTAGGACATGAGAAAGTATCTTCTTCTGAATCAAGCTTTGTTACTGTTATATAAAAGACCATTTTTATGATTAGAACAGCAGTTTTGAGAAATAATTAAGACATCAAATTCTCCTCCCCTTAAAGTGTAAGAATTTAAAAAAACCTGTCTTACCATGCATCGACACATACTCTTTCAAGCTATAAATTAAGTATATGTTGTAAGGATTCTCAGAGAAGTTCTGGTTGTCTAAAGAGCTATTTTTAATCACTATTTCTTGAACATCTCTCGAAACCATCATGACGTAGAGCTAAAACCTTTACCATACGATTTCTACTACAGCCTTAACATATCCTTAAAACGATAACGACGGATAAGACTGTATATCTGCCATCGTCGTTTAACCTATTCTCAATAAAATAGAACGATAGAGCTTGAAATTCTGCATGTTTTTGTCTAATTATTTTTTATTGTGTTGAATGCAAACAACCTTTTTTCGTAAACTAAATAGTCTGAGAGGGATCTATCAGCTTCAGACATTTTCGATATACCAATGATGACCATGGTTAATTATTATCGAAAACACTCAAAACTGATAGACCACTAAGACTATTTAGTCCACGAAAAGTATTTTCTTCTACATTCGACAAAACAAAAAAATAAATATACAGAAATGTGCAAAATTTCATTCTTTATCTTTCTATTTGATTAAAAGTAAGGCCAAAAGTAGTGACATATGTACAATTTTATGCAGCAGTTTCCTTTCATGAGTTTTGCATGTAACTGATTCCACATCGATTTGTCAGGATGGAAGAGAGGGAATCTTCGAACGAAATCAATTTTACCAATCATCAAGAACTTTCATTATTTCAAGATTGAAGTATTGTAGCAAAAACATACGATCAACAAATCCTCTAGATTACTAATAATTCTATTTGAAAATCTATTTCGTGATAAAGGAGCAGATTTAAAAAAAAAAGAGTTTCTAGTTACTGAAAAATTTAATTAATGAATCAAATATTCTTTTGCCATTGCTTAATATTTAACCAACACAATCTTTTTTATTTAATATTAAAAAAAAAAACAAGAAAAGCAACACAAAATAATTTTTTTCTTATCTACATCCACATTCTTGTACAATCATATCTCGATGATATTTAATTACAAGTTCATCTCGATCATAATAAAGTAAACATAAAGGTTTTAATCGTACAGGTACACATAATGGTTGTTGTCCATATTCTTTTTGTGAATGTATAAGACTAAGTAAAATAGCATGATTCGATGGATAATATTGTGGAGATAATGGATTCGGACATGAACCAGAACATGTATATGCATTAAAACGCTTTGGTTGCAATATCCATTGACCAAATGTAAATTGATTAAAATCAATTTCATATTCATGTTTAGCACATGTTGAACTTGGATTATTCGATAATATTGTTCGTCGATAACGTCGTTTAAAATTTTTACTTGTTGAAAATGAAAATAAATTTTTATTTGATTTAGAATAATAAATAATTGATAAACTATGTTGTTCAATTGGATAATTCAATAATAAATAAATATAACGTTGATAATGATTATTTAAAAATTTAGTAAGATCATACGATTGTATTGTATTTGTTGATTGTGATATCATTTCTAAATGATATATTCGATGATGAGTATTTCTTCCTAATCGAACATAAACATTTGATATATTACATCGTAATTCAATTAATACTATTTGTTCATTAAGATTTCTTTTTATTTGAATACCAAATAAAGTTCTATTATTCGGAACTAAAAATAAGGACGTTTTTTTTTGTTTTTTTTTAAACAAAATCTTTTGTAATAAACAAACTTTGATATGAAACCATTCGAACAGTATTGATATTCTTTAATTTTGATTGTGTATCTAAATCAAATGAGGTTGCTTTTAAAAGTGATCCATATGTATTAATCTTATTATAAAAATCAATTATTGTTTCAGTTTGATCTGCTAAAGCTAAGATGGCCTGAAGACTTATTCCAATAATAATTGTAATGTAGAACATTGTTGTTGTTGTTGTTGTTTTTCAGACAATATGAGAAAAATATAGTCATCACAGTTGTTTATATACATTCAAGTAGGATTAAGTTTCTCATTGGACCACATCGGTGTGGAGAAAAAAGATAACAATATATACATACATTTACTCATCTTTTTTTTTCGTATATCTTGTTCATGCACGCGTTTATTGATAACGAGAAAGGAAAAGAGACCACATCGACTTGAATACATAGATAAGATGAGAATGTTGAAAAACAAATTTATTAAAAATGACAAGAAAATTCTTTTTTTTCTCACTGTTCAATTTATCTATTGACTTTTATATATTTAATGATTGATCATTTGAGATTGGTTTTCTAACCTTGAAATATAGACCAGAGTCTTTCATTTAAATGAAAAACTTCGCAAGTTACAATTCAAAAATGAAGAAAATTCTTGGCGGATTGGAGTAGAAAGTAAGAAATTTGAAAGAATAGATCGAGATATCGACATTTTATTGGATTGGATGAATTATGTCAGTTTTTGAAGAAACAAACTATTCATTATTCAGTTATCTATTATAAGGCTTTGCTCATATCACAGACAAATTTTTATTTTCAATTGTGCCTCATTTTTATCAAATATTCTTAATGGAAAAGTATTTCGAAAAAGTTTGATTTTGTGCTGTTTCAGAATATATGCTTAGAATTTTCCTATGTCTTTTAACTATTGAGCTATAAGTAGACCTTGACGGGACTAAAAAACAAATTTGCTATTGAAGGCATAAAACTCCAATTGAAACTAGTTTCAGACATGCCACAAAATTGTATCGAAATTATTGGAAGATACAAAAAATAATCAATAGCAGAACTGTGGAGAGGGAGCAGAGAGAACTCAACCTCTCTACCCTAAATCGTGACTTTGCTACTGAAAATAATTTGCTACAAAATGGTAAATTTTTTGGAAACTGTTGACGTACAATAAAGGTTTTTAAAATGTCTATCACAAGAAAATGGCTATTTTTCCAATTTTTCTCTTTTTAACACAAAATATACCACCGTCACAACTGGAGCATTTTGTAGCGAATTAATCAAAACTTTCCTCCCTTTTTGCGTCATTTTGTAGAGTATTTCGGGCTATCGATTATTTAATATTAAAGCAAGAATAAATTGATTTGATTCTAGTCTTCAATGATATAACGATTTTAAATTCTACATAAAAATATTGCTTACTCAATATATTCATTCAACTGTCGATTAATTAATTTATTAAGAATAAATCTTCTATTATGCTCAGCGTATCCCTTCTTCACCTTTAATTCAATGAGTTTTCCGATAAAACAAATAGCTTTAATTTTGACAGTATGTATCTATTTCAAAATCGATATTCTTCTTGTAATGGTACATATAATCGCCTGTACTCATTTCTCTTTCTTCTTTTTTATGTATAAAGTTGTAGAATTGTTAACCGGTTTATTGAAAAAAGAAAGCAATCATGATTAATCATGATTCATTGATATATTTTATGTTCTTCCTTTTCCTGCTGCCGTATTTCCTGCGTATAAGAAATTTCTCTTTTCTTTTCTTCTGCAATCAATCTCTAATAATGATTCATACAAAATTCACTTCCAAAACATTTTACGATCTAAGAAGTGTGATTCGTCAATATCTATGACATCAGCACATTGTATACGAATTAAAAGACGAAAATTGTCAAATATCGTAACAATAAAAATGATAACATCATTTCTTTCTTTATCAAAAACATTTTCATATGGTCGCCAAAGCAGAATTGACTCATATACCTATCAACAATGAGTCATTTTCATCTCTGATATGCGTTAAAAAGGGCAAAATAAAACTTCGAATTCTATCATTTTAACATTAAGAATAAAAACTAAATAGATGGCTACTTCATCCACAGATTCATCTAAACAATGTATGCATGGACAAGCTGGTAATAGTGATTGGAAATTACCACGTCTTATAGCAGCATGTGACAAAAAAGCACGAGCAGATGTTTATGGTACGATTGATGCTAGTGAATATTTAGATGCCGATAATGTACTTGATGCTAAACTTGATATAGTTGTATCATTAATTAAAAAAAGTCAACAATTTGTTGTTTATACTGGTGCTGGTATTTCAACATCATCTGGTATTGGTGATTATGCATCAAAAGCACCGAATTCAATAGTGATGCGTGAAACAAGTGTTAATCGTTTAAAAGCTGTACCAACATTGTCTCATTATGTACTTGCCGCACTTGAAAAGAAAAATTTTCTTAAACATTGGGTACAGCAAAATCATGATGGTCTTGCTCAACGTGCTGGATATCCACAAGAAAAATTAAATGAAATTCATGGTTCATGGTTCGATAAAAAGAATCCTGTAGTTTTAATGGATGATGACCTTAAACCTGATTTACATGAATGGTTGCAAGAATGGGCCAAAAAATCTGATCTCGTACTTGCTATGGGCTCATCAATGTCTGGTATGGCAGCAGATAGGATTGCAACGAGAGTAGCTGAAAGAGAAGGAACACTTGGTTTAATTATTATTAATCTACAAAAAACACCACATGACCATCTTGCAAC